GAACCGATCTAGGACAAGAAGGGAAGGAACAGGTAAGCACAAGGCCCCAATCCAGGTGGAGACACAATGAGACCATACAGCATGGTGGCCAAAGGCCCGGGCTCTGGAAGCCAACGTCTGGGTCCAGCCGCAGCTTCACTTCTCTGTATCTGGATGACCAGCTAAGCTCCTGAGCCTCTGTGTCTTGATCTTATCATCTCAAAATGGGGTAATGTTGATCTTAAGGATTTTGCTTTCAGGATTAACAGGCATGATGTACGTACAGAGCTTAGGACAGCACCTGGCAGGGGAGGCGAGCTGAATTCAGAGGATCCATTACCATCATCAGGGGGCTGCCCACCGGAGCCAAAACAGCATTGGTTTTCCCTTTTTTGTTTTTAGATATGAGCTGGGAGAGGAGGTGAACATGAAATTACCACATGTGCCCTGAAGGCTGAGGGATGGTGAGTCACAGTGAACAGGTCAGCGAAAGGCCGAGAGTCTGCGGCTCTGGGAGCAGGGGGAGGGCACAGGAGCCTCCAGAAGGGGCACAAGGAAAACTCACAGAGCGCCATCGTAGACGGCTGGCCCTTCCTTGGCGCTTTTCCCTGGGCATGTTAGCGTTTGCAAAACAGGAGCTCTCCTCTGCAGTTCTGTTTACTTTTGGTTGGAAGTTCAGTGGAAAAAAATAAATCATTTCAAGTATTCTATCAGCAGACAAAAGCTTTCAAACAGTGGGGGGACACACTGTGAAACGATGGAGACCGACTACTCCGTTAACCTGATGTGGCCATTCCGGTGTATTACGCGCTCACATGTCCTGAATTTGTACGCACTGGGATTAAGAACAAAACAACAACAACAACTCAGTCCTTAAAGAGTGAGTTGAAGGAAGAGGCCAGTTCTGTGCAGAATGGAGCATTCCTGTTGAGGGAATGAAATACAAAACCAGGCTACCCCAGGTAAGAAGGTAAGAGAAACAGGAGGTGGCACTAGGCTAAGCCCCATCTCTCCTCCTCCCCAGCTCTGAGAATAGCTTTCTTTGTTGAGAGAATACGCCTGAAGTGAGCCTTCTTCATTCCTCCTCCATTTGAATCTAATTTTCTGGTCAGGTAAGTCTTTCCAGGTGCCCCAGTGGGAGTAGAGCGTCCAACGTTAACTCAGACTCCCACGCGAAATCAAAGCTCTGCCCAGGGCCTTTCATTGAAAAGAAAGAAATGAAATGAACACTGCCCTCAGAGGTGCCAGACCAGGCCCGCATGAAAATGTTTCAATTCCTTAGACACAAAACCATTTATTTTTGGTTCATTTCAGTATTTATAGCAGTGCACATGGAACCCATTTCAATCCATACGAATAGTACCCAATTGTGGGAGCAAATTAATCTTTTATGAGCTACTCAGCAGTGAGGTTAGAAGATAAACAGTAGGTGAAATAGTACACGCTCCTCTGTACGTGAACCTTCTTATTACAATAAACTCCTGCACTGGAGCTCACCACATCCAACGGCTGCCACTCTCTCTGTTCCTGCGGCAGCCCAGGCTGCCCCCTGCCACCGCTGCCGTGCTGCGGGAGCTCTCTGATCAACCACCTGGGTGGGCCTGGCTGCCATTTCCAGTTTGGAAGATAAAGCCTGTAAATCTGCTTCCTGTGAAGACAGGCATTGCTGAATTGTCATCGGCCTCCAGAATGCAGAAAACATCAATTTCATTGCAGCTCATCAGAGTTGGAAACACCTGCCACTTCCTTTCTCAGTTGCAATTAACATGCTGCATCTCAGCATTGATTGATTCCAAGCAGCCTAACACAGTCAAATCAAGATTTAAATGAAACAGTACAACCTGATATTTTTTACAGTTTTAGAAACACGAACTTATTTGTGTTTCTGTTGCCAAAGGACAATTACAATAGTTAGGGCTGTAAGTCTTTATGCTTAAGATACATGTGAGTAGATTAGGTTGATGCTTATAATAAAAAATAGTTCTTTATCTTTGTATTTATTTGGGAATGGTATTTGTTTATCTTTTTGGTTTTTTTGTTTTTTGGTGGGCAGAGTGGAGAGGTAATATTATTTCTGTATCCCAGCACCTGGCGCAAGGCTACAGAATCCCATGGGTATTTGTGTTGGAGAATGTTTATTAAACAAATAAATGAATGAATGGTTTGGGAGAGCAAGTTGAAGAACTGTTCTCTTGGTCTAACTTACGCAAAATTCTGAACTTAAGACTATCATGAGTCCTTTAGTTTAACTTAGAAGCTGTGTAAGACTATGAAATATGACCTGAGGCTGAGTTTTATGTCTCATTCAAAGACCTAAATTGCTCAGCCTTGATCACAAATGTTTTTTTAAGGGACAGTGAAGGCTGTGTCTGTTTTCATCATAATCTTACTCATATTGCATACAAAGAAACTGTCTTCAAAATGTATAATATTATACATTTGATGGTCTAAGAACATTCTCTGTTGTGAATAAGGAATGGAATCATTTAAAATACTTTAACAGCCACAATATTTGTGTCCTTTTGGAAATGATCATTGAAATAGTTTTTACGTACTGGTTTAAACTAAAAGCCAGTGTAAGTAGAAGGCTATTAAGTATGAGATTTATGTTTTAACTTGGCCAGATAAGACATAGTCTTAAACCACAAAACAGAGTCTTTGAAAGAAAAAGTGAACAAATTGCTTCTTTCATATATTAACAGAATACCAGGGCCAAGAATTCCCTTCTTTCTTGGCCTTCTTGGGAGAATCTTTCTTTTAGATGGGAATAGAACAAATTAAAATAAATGTCAATTAATTATTTTCCACAAAAACCTAGACATTACACATCTGAGCATCATCTGTTAAATATATGCAAGCATCCAATAATGCACTTTTATATAATTGACCAAAAAGACCAGGCTTAAATATTTCTACATATTCTAGAATGAAAACTGAAGTTATATACCCTCCTCTTAAATTGAATTAATATTCCTGCACATCCATAGTCTCACCTCCAAATGCTTGGTGGCTGAAAATATTAGTCTATCTTCATAAATATTTAATACTATACAACTTGCTGCCCTCGACATCTGAGTTATTTGTATATTAAATAGCTTATATACCAACATCTTAGTGATTTATAGGTCTTCCTCAAATTACATAACAGGAAAACCAGAATTATAAGGAAACCATAATAGTGATTTCCAGCAAATAAATAAAAATAGATGAATAGCCATAAGGGACATAGTTTTTATAGATAGGTAGGTAGGTAGATAGATAGATAGATAGATAGATAGATGCCTATACATATCTCCTAATAATAGAATTCAGGCACTAAAAGACTTAATTCTTAAAACAAAGATAGAAAAAGGAAGGGAGGAAGGAAGGGAGGAAGGGAGGAACGAAGGGAAGGAAACTGAAAGGAAGGAAGGGAGGGAGAGAAGAAGGAAGGAAGGAAGGAAGGAAAGAAGGGAAAAAAGCCCACAGCCGAGGGACTTGATATACCATGGAAAGATTGTGTTTTAATAATACCCAAAACATTGGCTGATTCAGGAAATCCAGTTACACTTCTAATTTCTGGCTTGTCAGCTGGCCAGGTTGGTGAACACAGACAACAGCCTCAGACAGAAGTGATTCATGGGTCAGCTTATAATGAGGAAAGTTAGGTTTTTGGTCAGAATCAACTTTTGCAAAGCACCTTTTGTCTAAAAACACATTTAAACTCTTGGAGAAATGAGAGAGGCCAAACATACAACAGCAAAGGGTTCTTCAGTCTGTCTCTCATCAATGACAGCCTGAATCTTCAAAGAATCCCATTAAGGGAAAACAATCAAATACTTTATGACAACAGATTCCCATTTGAAATCTTTTCTTTGGTTCCATATAAACTATCAAAATATCCCAGGAATTCCACATCAGTGCATGAAGTCCATCTCCCAGCTTTTCTGTACATTGAAAATGTCATTTAAAAAAACAATCCATGACCCAGTTTGGGATCTGGTAAGTGGGGCCACCGCACTCAGCTTCACCTTCAAGTCAGAAGTGGTTTTGTCCTTGTCCCGTGGGTTCCTGGGCAACCCCTGCAGCGTCTCTCAGTCACCTCTGTTCTGGACCTAAGAAGACCACCGCTGGGACATACCCCTTTCCCGGGATCACTAATGTGTTCATTGTTATAGCAGCACCAACCTCTCCCGTGTTTTATCAACAAATGGAAGAGTTTCCCTGTTTGCCATTTCCAACAGTTATTTAAAAATTATTCCTTTTCTAAAAAATGCTTCCCAGTATGTTCCAGAGGCTGTAAGGACAGTACTCTGAGAATAAAAAGCTTTTCTAAGCCAACAGTACTTGGTGAAAACTAATGATCCTGCTGGTATAAAGTTAAACTTTTATTTCCTTTCTTTTTTAATAAAATTAAGGCTCAAATGTTCTATTAAACTCTCATTGCTTATGTATATTATATTAAGGCTTATAAATACACCTGGTAAATTAAATTCACCCTGGATTGAATTAACACCTGCTATGTGAGTTATTTGCTTTATGTAATCCGTAATCTCAAGGTTTCTCCTCTTTCTCTGGAAACACAATTTAAGTATTAACCTAATCTTTAAACTACTGCTGCTTCCTTCTGACATTTGGAAACCAGTCATCCACACAAAAAATAAAATAAAAAGGGCAAATATGGACATATTAATGAAAAGGCAGCTTCTTAAGAATCTTAAAATATGTAACTCAATGAATTGGGCTGATAAATGATAAAAAAAACAGAAGGAAAGTCAATCTCTGTGTCAATTTCTAGGGAAAACAATGCTGGTCATCTGCCAAGGTCACCTCCAATCAGAGAGACCTGCTGAAGTTGACTGCCAATTTCAAAAGTATCTTTGTATTTTCTTCATTATAATCGCTGGAAGGATCTGGGGCAGCTGTAGCACATATAAGAGAATTTTAATTTTTAAAAACATATTGCAGTATGACAAATCCTGCAAAAGGAAACAGGAGTGTGTGCGGTGTGACGGCCAGATTGGGTCCTTGGCTGGCTTCGAGGGACAGGGCCCTGCTCACGTCCTGCTCAGCTGACAGCCCCTGGAGAATATGAAGCTTTCAAAGTGCTGGTCTTCAGCCTTTTCTTTTATGCGTTGTTCCTCTAAGGAATCCACGAGTTTGTCCCTCTGCTCAATCACTTGCATCATCTCGGTGAATATTTCTTGCTCCTCATTTAGATCATTCTCATCTTTCTGGCTCTCTAAAGAAAGAAAAAAGAAGAAAGAAAAAGAAAAACATTGGACCTCAGGTAAGATTTGGCCCCGGGAGAGCTCTTGGCCTCTGCATTCTTGATTGTTCTGGACTTGTTCTGCCCTTTAATTTCCACAGAGAAAACAAGGAAATGAATTGAACACCAGGGAACTGCTCTCAAAGCCACAGATTAGGATGGTGAATGCTTTGTGCTGCAGTCAGCTCACTTTCCATCTTGAGAATATATATAAAGTGACAGGAGAGAACCCCTTTGTGAGGAAAAGAAGTTAATACCAGCCAAGCCCTACCAAGGCCTCCAACCTCCCCTCTTCTGGGGAAGAAAAAAAGAACCCCATAAACAGCAAAAAGGCTGTTTTCTCTAAACATGTCTGAGCTACAGCAAGAAGAGTTTCTAAGTAAACTGTCTGCACTAGTGACTAGTATTTCAATGACCAGAATCCTTTTTCAATTTGTAGTTAATGACAAATTGTACCCCTTTGGGGAGGAAGCAAAGTGAGGCTACAGCTGGACAATAGGAGGATGTTTCTAAACTACCACTGCTTTTCCCTTTAGCCTTTTGGAGTATGTAATCTTCTTAAATAGCCTGAGACAGACAATTGCCTGGGGGAGATGAGACTGTTAGAAAAGCAAGAGAAAGAGTAAGAAACAGGTACTGCAGTAAATACTTTCTGACATTCAAAACAGGATTTTAAAGCCAAATTTAAGTTTTGTCAGCCAGATTATCGCCTTGGGAGAAGACTTCATAAATTCCTTTAGCTCCTTCCATTAAACACACCAGGACTAGTCAGGAGCCCCATCCCAGAGTGGAGAAGGGGCCGCATCAGGCTTGGTTCTGAGGCAGGGTCAGGATGAAGGTGTACAAGACAACAGGGAAATAAAGAAGCACCATTCCCTTTGCAGCACATGAGAGCTCTCTGTGCTCTAGCCCCTCCGTTATGGACCTTAGAAGCCCCCAAGGGGGCAGGAAATGTCTTATTATTTAATGGGGATGCTGGGGGCCCAAGGATTCTTGCCTTGCCTCTTGTTTGGAACTCCAGAAAGAAGCCAGCTGGAAGGGCGCCCTATGTATAACCAGGGTGGTTGGGCAGAGAAGTACGGTGTGAGTGTGACGCCCCAGATCTTGATCAGCTGTGTGCGGCATGGGCGGAGCCTGCCAGGGTTCACTCTCCCTGGAGCAGCCAAAGGCAGCTGGCCAGTGGGCCCCTGGGGCTCCCTGCTGAGAGGAGTGAGGGCCCCTCCGCCCGCCCCTGCAGCAGAGACTGGATGGGGAACTTCTGGCCAAGCTGACTGGAGGACGCGCTGAGGACCGGCTGGTGAGCCAGGGAACGCCACCAGGCTCCCAGCATGCCGAGAGAATGGCAGCCTGTGGGGTTACATCAGTCGCACACCTTAGCTGCAAATGCCAGCAGGGAGAGGGGCAGTCTGATGACAGGAGACAGCTGTGAGGGGACTCCGTGACTCAGCACAACCCATGCAGATTCCCAGTGCCAGAAAGTCAGACAAACAGGTCTCTCCCCATTACCTGGCAAGTCTCCTTAGGGAGAAAAGCAGAAGGAAGCGGTGGCCATCTGCAAGATTGAACATTTCATTCCAAAGAGACTGAGCATTTCCTACAGGGACTGTTTAAAATATTGCATCAGACTAAGTTTACCAGAGAAGGATTTATAAAGTTCTTTTTTTTTCTTGCTAATTAGCGGGATGAAGCTTTTGTGGAAGATGAGCTTACAGACAAAATGAAGAAGCTACACTTGTTTTTGAACACCTGAGAGGAGAAAAATAGATGACCATCACTCATTAGTAAGACATTTTAAAACAAGAATTGAAGGTTGGCTAACAGAGTCTTTGGTGGTATTTATTTTCCCGCCCTGGAAAAGAGCAAATTAAAATTTTTATCAGATATATAAATCAGACATTGGTTACACACTATGGATTTTTAATTTAGGTATACCGCAGTTTGGGTGCTCCTTATTTGATAACCAACACAGCAAAAAAATTAAATTCCTGTCTTAATTTTGGTTTATTGAACCCTTTCCAACTGTACAGTGCAGCTCTATAAGGATTTTGTTAGAAACAGAACTCAGTTGCTCTAAAGAAACAGTCTACAAATCATTACTAACAGGAGAACGTGAGTCTGTGGTGATCTGGTGATAAGTTCTCAGACTCAGTTTTCTAATCTGTAAAATGGGGATGAAATGCCTAAATAAAAATATTCATGATGGTGATGTCTAGTAGCTACCGAATACTTGCCCTGTCCCAGGCAACACCAAAGGTGGGTACAACATTTTGTCCATGAGGTACAAAGAAATTATTTGACTTGTTTTTTAAGACCTGGTATTTTTTTTAATTTTTAAAAATATGTTTATTGATTTTAAAGAGAGAGGAAGAAGGAGAGAGAGAAATGATTGGTTGTCTCCTATATATGCCCTCACCAGGGCGGGGGGCGCGGGCACTGAACCCACAACCTAGGTATGTGCCCTGATCAGGAATCGAACCCCCAACCTTTTGGTGCACAGGACAATGCTCCAACCAACTGAGCCACACCAGCCAGGACCAGACCTATGTCTTAACGTAAGAAAGCCATGCAGGCATCTGCCCCCATAAACACAAAGGTACAAAACACAGTGACTGTGCCTAGCTAACTAGAGCCAAAGAATGTATAAATCAGTATATTGTGTCAATTGAGTTTATTTCAATTCTGTCCTTCATGGTGAAAATGCCTTTCTCACATACAATGCACGGGCCCAGCCCATGCTGAGAAGGCTGTTTCCTTTACTATCTCTTCTGTGGTCCCCAAGCACCTGCATCGCTGCCCTTATCTCGCTGCACCACGATTACTGCACTGGGTGCTGGTCTCCATAGTGAGACCACAGGGCACAATGGATCTTCTCCATATGCCAGGCACACGGTAGAGTCTCCACAAATACTTGCTAAAGGAGTGAATGAATAAGTGAATGGATAAGTGAATGAATGTGTGAATAAATGACTTTGTTCCTGTTCACACTTGGGACAGAGCAAAGTGCTGCTCTCAAAGCCCAAGTGAACGAAGCTGAATAGAGATTTGCTGCGCTGGTGGGGTGGGCAGAGGGAAGGCTAGCTTCGCGCTCGCCTCTGATTCCCAGGCAGGAGGGCACGTCGCTCAGTGATTTGCAGCGTGTCCTGCTCAGGTGTCTTTCTGGGGGAAAATGTCTTTAACAAGCACCCAGAATGTATCACCATACTCACCCTCCTTGAGCATTTTCTCTCTTAACTTCTGCTGCAGTCTGCTTTGATGATCTTCTAATTCTAGTTCTTGAGCCCTAGGGATGAGAAAGTATTCAAACCTTGTAATTCTAGAGATTTGTGTAGACACATTGACAAATAAGCCCACTGACAGAAGCTACTGCCTTCTTTTTTCCTTATTAAAACTGGTATGCCTCTAAACTGAGAGTTTTGCTGCTGTGGGGGCTCGTTGAAGAGGCCTGGAAGGACTGCTGAGATTCGCTGAACTCATGAGGGGGTGGGGAGCAGCTGAAGGTTGAGCTGTGCCCCCAGCAGGTTTTTGGAAGGCCATTCATGCTACCTTTTACTGAAGGATCGTAAAGAAATGACTAGAATAGCCCAGTGGGTGGAGAAGCAATCACAGTCTGAAACTTTTCTCTTTTTGGAGGGCAACATGGGTTCCACTAACCACTCCCAAATCTCTAATTGTGGTGGACAAGAAAACCACCAAGCAGAAACAGAAGTGAGATGTTTTGTCCAGGTGGAGGCAATAAAACTCAGACAACTGTCTGGTTGTAGGACCAGGGGAAAGAAGGATCAGTGATGCTTTGTAGTAGTCAAGCTAGATTGCTGGGGATTCTGTGTCTCTACTGAGAAGAACAGCAATATCAAGAAATGAAGTTAGTCCTTGCTGAAGGTCAGTTAGAAACTTGACCTTTGAATGCCTGGGAATATCCCATGTATATCACAGTGTGTGTGTAAGCTCCCCACGTGCTAGGCCACGGGGAGCTTCCCCAAACCTTTGGGAATGCAACTCTGGACTTCTTGGGAGAAGGGAGGACCACAAACAGAGACAGCAAGAATCAGAGGTGTTAGTGGAAATCATGATACCCCTAAAAGGAAACTCTAGAGAAAGAAAAATTCTGAAGACAAAGGTTTTGGAATGCCCACATTTAGAAGCCAAACAAAAGAGGTGCAGCCAAAAAGAAACAAGTAAGGTTGTGGAAGGATACAAGAGATGCAGTGTCACAGAGACCAAGAGCAATGTTTTGAGAGATAAGAGAGGGGTCAATGGTGTTCACTGCTACACAGACATTGAAGAGGTGAGGCTGAGACTATGTCCTTGGGTTTGACATGGTGCTCCCCCAACCTGCTGCAGCTTACATGTTTATCTGCTACAGAGTCAGGGTCCCTTTGCTATACTCTATTATTGCTCTCACTATTCTTACTACTTCTATTACTTGGACAAAGGTCCCTGCCTTGTTTAATGTTCTACCTTTTGTTATTGACACTGAACTTCTGTTGGTCCAATGCGGTAGCCAATAGAGTTGAGCCTCTCAGATCTTTCCTTAAGAGAGAATTTTCCAGGAGGGGTGTAATGAGCTGACTGCTGCTGCAGAAGCCATTCGATGTCATGCTGAGGCCATGCTGTTCCCCCACAGGTCTCAGACTATGGCATTACCAGAGCTCAGTCATTCCGCCCAACTTTGGACTCCTCTGATGGGCACTCTTCACTCTGGTGTGCCCCCTGGCCTCACTGATGCTTTCTCAGAGCTCTGCTGTGGAAAGGCTCCTCCTCCCCAATTTTCCTTCCTTTCCCCGCTCCTTTCACAGGTCTCAGGATGGCAGTGAGGCATGAAGACTTCCCTCTTACTCCTGCTGCCTGTCCCCTTCATCCTTCACAGGCATTTTCCCAATGCATCTCTTGTACTTCAATTCTATCTTGGCATCTGCTTCCCAAAGAACCTGGATGGACATTTCTCTTGTTTCTCCAGGTCTATCTCCACACTAAAACCTATCCTTTAACAAAGCTCCTGCCTGCCTTTGTCTAGACCAATGGATGAATGGCCAAGTTCTTCTCTTTGGCCACTTTGGGAAGAGAAAGCTACCCCTCATGGGAAGCTCCAGTCACTGAGCAGCAGCAATAGCAGCCAGTGCATCCTTGACTCTCCCAGGTTGACCCTATGCAGACTGCTCCTTGTACAAACCTCCATGGGGCTCTTGCCATGTTTTCTTATTACTATTGTGCTATACACTTACATGTGTGCCTCCCCTGAAACCATAAGATCCTAGAAGATAGGAACTGTGGCCTCTTTCTTCTTTATTTCCACAGTATCCAGCACAGTTACTGGCACCTAGAACATAATATGCTTCATACATTTTTGTTGAATGAACTTTATAATTCAGACCTGACCCAAAGGCAGATGGTATGGTTGTGTAAAAAGGGCTTGATAGTCAGGTCACCATGAACAAATTACTTAATTTGTGAGTATCAGTATGTACATCAACTTAAGAAATAGTGATAGGAAAAATACTACTACAAATGAGCTTCTCTACCCCATTCCTAGAATTTCTTCCATGTTAGTGGAGCTCAATGAGTGTAACTCCTGGCCTCCTCTCCCAGTCCCCTCTCTTACTCACTCTCATCCCAAGGCGGAGGGTGGGGTAAATTTGAAAAAGACTAGACTAAGAAAACTCAACTTGCACCCTTTCTCTCCTGGGATCAGCCTGCCTGCAGCAAACATGTGTTCTTGATTACACAGAGACTTGCCAGAGGTCTAGGGCAAGGTTCCTCAGTCTTGACACTATTGTACTTTTAGGCTGGATAATTCTTGGTTGCTGGTGATCGGGGGTGCCCCATGCATTGCAGAATATTTAATAGCACCGTTGGCCTCTACTTACTAAATACCAGTAGCACCTCTTAGTTGTGACAACCAAAAATGTCTCTGGACATCGCCAAACATTCCCTGGGGAGGCAAGATCATTCCCAGCTGAGACTCACTGGTCTACTGTAAACGCTTTGCCCTTAAGAAGTAAGTGGTCCTTGCCCTGGCTGGTGTGGCTCAGTGGATTGAGCACTGGCCAAAAACAGAAAGCTCTCTGGTTCAGTTCCCAGTCAGGGCACATGCCTGGGTTGCAGGCCAGGTCTTCAGCTGGGGGCGTGTGAGAGGCAACCGATCAATGTTTCTCTCCACTTTTTCTCCCTCCCTTCCTCTCTCTCTGAAAATAAATATATAAAATCTTAAAAAAAAAAAAAAAGTAAGTGGCCCATTACATTTTGTGATAAGTATGTCTAATTCTGGAGTTTGGTTAGTGTCGTGGGTTGAATGGTGACCCCAAAAGATATGTCCATATCTGAACCTCTGGAACTTATAAATGTGAACTTATTTGAAAAAAGTCTTTGCAGATATAGTAGATACAATTAAGGACCTTGAGATAAGAACATTCTGGATTATCCCAGTGGACTCCAAGTCCAATGACAAGCATCCCTATAAAAGACAGAAGAGGAGAAGACACAGGCACACAGAGAAGGCCACATGAAGACAGAGGGAGAGATTGGAGTGGTGCAGCCACAAGCTAAGGGACTAGAGCCACCAGAGGCTAGAAATGCAGAGGGAGCGTGGCCCTCCTAACATCTTGATTCAGACTTCCCTCTTCCAGATCGGTGAGAGAATGAATTTCTGTTGTTGTAAGGCACACAGTTTGTGGTAATTTGTTACTCCGGCCCTAGGACAGTAATACAGATAACAAGTTCACCTGGCCTCTCATATTTAGCCAAGCCATTATCAGTAATAAAGGTGATCTTTAGATGTTTCATCTATTGACTTGGTCTTATTTCTCACCTGATTCAGCATCCTGCCGGGGGAGAGGAATAGAATTTATTAAACCTCTTCACAGACCTCCCCCCTCCAAATTACCTCTCAGGATTGGGGTGAAATAAAATGAAACAGTATAAGTGAATGCACCCAGGACAACTTGGTGCACACTTAATTGCTTTGTATTAAATGTCACTATCTTTCTCTCCAGAATGGTGACAGGTACAGTGATCTTTGAGCAGGTCAGACTGTGTTGAAAGCCATCTCTAGTTTCTGATCTCCAAACCAGGCTGCAACTGCTCACTCAGAGAGGACAGCCAGACACTCTTTAATGGATTGAAGAGTCTTAGTCCTTCAATTCCTTAAAGCCACAGGAAGTACCCAGGCAGCTCTCACCAAGCCTTTCCTGTGGTTCATGGTCAGAAGCCAGAGACATGCTTCCCCATGCTGGTGTGTGATTGCAGGTGGGTCCCTTGGTCTGGGTGACAGAGGTGGAATGAAAATACTTTCCAAATGCCCTCCAGCTCCAGACTCATTACCTGAAATTTATTTTAGCTATAGGACCTCACAGAGAGAATAGACAACTGAAGATTCTCTGCACTAATGCCAGCATGATATGCAAGACATCAAATATCAATTTGCCTCAATCACAATTCTGTATGCACAAGAAGAAAAAATCCTGGCACCGCAACCTAGGAGGGTGAGCCGCCCCACGCCCGCCCCGCTTTGCGTTTAGGACTCACTGTTATCTGTGTTGCCTTACTTACATGATCAGTAGTTCCGACTCATATCGCATTAATTTATTCTTCTCCAGAACCAGCTTAAACCATTCCTGCAAAAGCTGTGCTTCATCCTGTGTGCCTGAATCTGCTTAAGAAATCAATGACAAATGGGTTAGATTGGCGTTTCTCTCCACATGATCAAACTGCTTTGGAGCTACTTTAACAGACCATGTTTGTAGCAAAAAGGGCTCAGCAGGCAGCAGCTCCCTGATGGCCTGTTGATGCCTCAAGGTCAGGGACTTGGCAAATAAAACCCACCTGTGCATGCTCTAAGGGCGGTCCTCTGTGACATTTAGGGCAGGAATACTTCAGTTCCAAGGTCATATACCCTGGATAATGTCCTGCCACAAATGACCCTTCTCTTGTTTACTTGTATGTTCTCAGTAAAACTTCTATAGGTTTGTGCATCACATCCTTCACCCATAAAAACCCTAACAACCCTGCTGGTTACTATTTCCTTCTCCTCTTTTTCCTCCTACAGAATCGAATGCCCACTGAGTGCCCAGATAGGGTGCGGCTTCCTCCATGGGGCAGAGAACCTCATACCACATTTGGTCATAAAGGAATGGAGACTGACATTTAGATTTTTTTGCACAATGAAAAGGCAAATAATGGGGAGGGGGGATGTTATTAGCTTTCAGACTCAGAAGGAGAAAGTTATATCCACATATTCTTATAACTTAGATTATGACCTTTATTAAACAGGAGAATAAGCATGAAAAAACAGACACTGCTTTTAGATATTCAATATTAGATGCTAAATGTCTGGACACCAAAATGTTATAATCTGGACATATTTGAGGAGTAGCAACATGGATATGGCCTTCTAGAATTCCACCCTGAAATGAGAACACAGGCCGTATTGCAAAGCTCATAGCCATTCTAGAAGGATTCATACTGGAGGGTCCAGCGGGCAGAGCAGAAACAGTGCAGACAGGACATATGTGTGTCTTTGGGCAAGCTGTTTAACCTTTTGGAGTCCCTCCTTCACTGGTTAAACTGAACAATAAGCTACACAGGTAATAATAATAATAATAATAATAATAAGCTACTGTTTATTATGCAACTATTACATGCCAGTCAATGGGCTATGTGCCTTATAAGCAGCATCTCATTTAATCCTCACAACAAACTCACCAGAAGGTTCCCTTATTATCCCTACTTGAGAGCTGAAGAAATAGAGGTTTAAGAGATTAACTTGCTATACCTCACAGCAAATAAGTGACAGAGCCAGAGCTTGAACTCAAGTGAGCCTTGTCCTAAACCCGTGCTTTCCACTGTGTATATAGCGCTCCCTCCTTTTCCTCCCTCCCTCCCTCTCTCCTTCTCATAGGCATGTAAGGTAAATAATGCCTCCAGCACATTGCCTTGCACGGAACACAGCAAGTCATCCATAAAAATGAGTTCCCTTTTCTCCCTGTCTCCTTGACCACCTTTTTATTGATAAGGAAAATGGGGTCCAGAGAGGTTTATATGCAATGCCCCAAATTATATATTTAATTAATGTGCAAACTGGTGCTACAATGCAGATATCTAATTCTGGTGAATTCATTCATTCATTCATTCATTCATTCATTCAACAACTGCTGTTTATGAAATAGGGGTTGGGAACTGCCTTAGGCACTTGGGCTACAGTGATCTATAATGCTACATAGCACAAGAAATTTGGAGATAGTAGGACATAGGACCAGCTAAAGAGTGTATTTACTGTTAGATAATCTTTTGGATCAGATGGATGCAAAGAGATAGAATACTATGGAACATTAGAAAACTGTCACCACAACAAAGCAGCAAGAAAGACTCTGGGAACAAAGAGAAGGGAGGGTTCTTCAGGCCAGGGCATGATGACGGGCTTCCCAGGAAGGCAGTGTTTGAACTCGGAGGTTGTAAAATGGAAAACACTTTGAGAGGAAATAATGTGGATGGGACAGGACTTTTAAAATAAAAGGGAACAATATGAGCAAAGATGAGGGGATGGGAGGAGGTGGTGGGGACAGAGCTTGGGAAGGGCTGAGGTGGCATGAGGGGTGGATGATAAGCCTGGGGAGTGTATGACAAGCTCATCCTAGAGGCCCCTGAACATCACGCTAAGAATCAAGTTCTTTGTTCTGTAGAATACAAAGCAACACTACCAGTGGCTGAATAGGAGAATGATATGTGAAGTTCTACACAGGAAGTATTAAAGAGGGAGAGAAGAGATATAAATCAGTAAGATGTTATTCTTTAAGTTTCTCGACTGACTTAATAAATGAATGAATGAGTGAACAAACTTATAAACACATTGGGTACCAATATCTCCTAAGCACTGTTTGTGATGAGAGGGACAGGGATGAATAAGCATTGGTTTCAGCTCTTGGAGAAATTGGCAGCTTGCAGTCCAGTGGGTGAAACCAACATTACATGGCCAAATAGAATGTGATGCATCTGTTGCTATGCAATACAGAAGAGAAGCAACTAATCTGGTGTGAAGGAAGTGGGAAAAAACCCAGAGAGGAGACAGCAGGCGAGCTCAATCTAAATAGATGAATAAGAGTTTTCCAGGGAGAGAAGGAGATAGAGAACAAGGCATTCAGGACACCAGTTGATGAGCAAAGGAATGAAGTACATAGACTAGGAATCATATATAACGAAGAAGTTAAGAGAGTATATTTTAAACTCAGACCTGGGATCAAACTTCCATTCTTCTACCTGACACTATGTGGGCTTGAGCACTTAGTATAGCCTCCTGAACCTCAGTCTCCTCCTCTGGTATGAAGATGCAGTGGGACGTCCCCACAAAGAACTTAATCCAGCTCTGGTACGTAGTATAAACTTAGTAAAGGCAATGGTCATGATTCAAATAATATAATATGTGTCATGGAGAAGCCCTTAGGAGTCATCTGTTCTAGCCATGGAGACATGCAGGAATTCCCTGCACCTCCCGCTCCTTCCGCTGACAGCGAAATTCATGCTGTCTAAGGAGCTCACTGCAGGGCACTGTACGTCTAAGTACTGAAAACTTTTTTCTGTTGGAATTTGATGGGCTGGCTGCTAGCCACTGAGTTCAGTTTTGCCCTCTAGAGGAACACTGAAAATACGTACTATTTTACATGAAAGACATTCGCACATTTGAAGGCATGTCTCACAATCTGCCGAAGTGTTCTTTTTTTCACAGTCAACACCTCCAGGTTATTTATCATTTTGTCATAAAAGGACTGCCCAGCTCTGCTTGCCCTGTAATTTTCTGGAATACATCTTAAGGAAAATGAAAAATCAGAAGTCCATAGCCCAGGGTGGAGAGACCCTCTTGTACCTTCACCCTGTGACCTGGGACTGCAGAAGTCTTTCGCAGTCTCGTCTTCACTGAGCTCTAAACTAGATTGCAAATGAATGTGGTCCTTTCGCCCCAGTGGTGGTTAAGCCTGACAAATGGCCTTGTGTTCTGTTTATGCTACTAATCTTTTTCTTAACCCAGTTCTAGACTTTCTATACATCTTGTTAAATATCTTGCTTACTTTGTTCCATCAAGGGGAAATCTTAAATACTTTACCCATCTGACACATTTTCCTAGATTTGGGAGTTCTGTGGAATTGATCAATGGCCATCCTGTACATTTATGTGATGTTGGAAAACAAAACGTCAGATGGGACTCGACCAAGAACAGAGCCATCTGACCCACCAAGGGACCTTTCTCAGCCTTTCGGTGAAATGGTTCTATGGACTCTTAAATGCAACGAACTGGTATGATGCAGCCCACATTTCAATACCTCGTCTGTTAGGCTGCTACAGGAAACTTTGGTAACAAAATAGTTTCACAGTGCCTGCCATGTCCACTGGCACTACAAACCATGCAACCACACTCAGAAAAGGACATGGCATTTGTTTTTCACAGCTTCTCAGTAAACACCAGTGGTTCCTTAGTAATCGCTAAATGTCTTTCTTAATATTTACAATTTTTAAAATAATCCTATCTGGAATTTTGACAAAGAATCTCCTCAGAATGCCTATTTCTTTCCTGTGCAAAATGCAGAAAATGTACTCATCTCTAGTCTTTTGGCCTTGGACTCCTCCATGAGTTTTCAAAGACTGAGAATATACCTGCATGTTTTTTTCAACACCAGAGGGTTAATTTGGTTTGTTCAACAAATTCTGATTGACTAAAGTCACGTCCGAGACTACCCTATGTATGTATCATCTTTCACTGGGGCTTTGAAACCTGAATTCATTGCTCTCCCATTTTTCTCACGTATCCAGATTCAATTTCCTCTTCTAGATAGTTGTTTAACATTTCTAGATGGAGGAACATTTGTCTCAATAAAGAGAACAGGAAAGCTGAGAGCTGAGAATCCTGCGGTTCTCCATTGCGTAACACGACACCTCCGTCGCAGCGCGGCCTATCCTTCCCTTGGTCCCAATCCAGAAGAAACAGCACTATTTTGCTGTCTTTAGAGTATTCTTTGTTGTCTGTCAGTTTTAGCCTCTTTGCTACATTATACTCACAGGCTCTAGCCAGACTTTTATCCGGGATTACACGTCCCTTTTTCAATCTCTCCTACGTGCCCTTCTAAAATCTGGACTGTTAGAGACGTCCCTGTGCATCCCACTGATTTCTATTGATGCTGGACTCAACAAACAGAAGTTGAACAGAATTAACTGATTTGATTTTCATTTTTCAATGGAACAATTTGTAATTTCATAGCCTGCAGTTCATTTTTTAAGAGTCTTCAGTTCCTCAGTCAAAATCCGTTTTGGGGATCTTTGAACATGGACTCTGGGGCCGATTCCTAGGAAATCTGCCTTTCCCAAGCATTGGGTACAGTGACTGCTGAGCCCAGACTTGCCTTGCTCTCCACCCCAGCAAGGCACTGAGACTCTGCTCCACGATTTCCATCAACTCACTGCCACCCATCAGATAGCATCCTCCGAGGTCCTGGGGAAGCCCAGGCCAGCATTGCCCCTCATGTAGAGGGCAGTGGCAGAGGGCCTGGGCTTTGAGATCAAGCAGACCTGGCTTAGCCACTTATGAATGTGTGAACTTCAGCAAGTTCACACCTCACATCTCTCCACCTCAGGCCCTTCCTGTGAAAAACAGAGATGATGATAGTG